TTCTAATTGAATACACCAGAATTCTAAAAGTCTTAAAAAGTCTCTAAAAGTTTTAAGTCTCAACCGACTTAAATTGAGTAAACAATCAGATTTTCTATTGACCAATTTTTGTATAGTTAGATTCATTATAAAACTGAGACGTAGAGAGAGAGAGAGAGCCAAACACATCGGGGTAACAATGAAGATGGTGACGGACCCGACTCTCGACGATGACAGGTGGGGATTGTTTGTAATGTACAAGCGCAAGTTTTGGTTCGAAGAGAACGGTTATGACGTCCCTGAATCCTATTTCTACCGGAACGGCGAGGAGATTAAGCCCAATACCATCGAGCTGGTCAAGAAATTTCTCAAACAAGTCCGCGAATCCAGGGTATCTATCCCTAAAATTCTTCTTCTCGTTCTCTGTCCCCGTACTGATTCTACCGTTGTTGAAATCCGATTGTTTATAGTTAGGGTTTTGCTCGCCTACTTAGTCCTGTTTTTTTCATCCTTAATTTAATGTGTTTGGGGAGCTCTGAGTTGATGCATCTGGTTTATATACTCGTTAATTTTGTTTATTTATATTTTTTATGTTGGTTTGTCTTATTTTTTGATTTTGTTTTCTGAAATCAGGTTTATGCTTTGTTTGCTATGTTCTACATAGAGATGTGTGTGTATTAGCTTAGCTGATGCAGAGTTTGAGAGTTGATCTAAAAGGATTTTGAAATATAGCAATATTGGTTTTGATTGTCATTTGTCACTCTCCTGCTTGTAATTTCATTTCTATGTATGATTGTTGATTCTAGTGTATTTTATTAGTTAACAAGCATCAAAACTATTTGCATGGCTCTATCGTTTGATTGAAATGGATGATGAGCTGCTTCTGATTTTTGTAGGGTTATGACGTTGATTTCTACCCGCCTCCGATGTTTGAATCTCCATTCTCACCACTTCCACTGGAAGAGATGCGCCAGGGTACAAGCAATATTGATAAACGCGGCTATGCTAGAGTTGTCGGAGCAGCCGAGTTAGCAATTCAGGATATCTGTGAGGAGACTGTGCGTCTCTAATCTGCCCTTAAATATATTTTGCTTTTTATTGTTATCACCTCAAATCATGAACATCATTCTAGCCTTATTTTGCTTCATTTTTTTTATTTTTATTTTGTTCAAAGCTTTGTTGCTCCATTGTCTACTAAAAATCCAAATTACAACAGGGTCACAGATATAAGCTTGTTAAAGTCGAGAGGGCTGTCCATGTCCTGACCAGGCCCTGGGTGTACCTCTTGACTTTGACTGCCGAGGAAGATGGTGGCCCTGTGCAGACTATTCAAGCCGAGGTCTGCTGCTCCATTAATGACCATCCAGTCCTTCAAGAGTGGAGGTTCAAACCACTCCCCGCTCAAAATGCCTGTAAGAAAATGCTTGTTATAATTTAAATATTTATGGTGAATGTATATGTGGAATTTTTAGTACAGTATTTAGCAAGCCAGATTGTATTTCTAACACCGCCTTTTGGGTAAGAAGAAAATCATCTACTTTAGATGGGGTTTTGTTGATGGTTGACCTGCACTTTAGCTAGTTGTAAACTTTCTTTCCCGGGCATGTATGTCGAGCCCGAACAATTACTCCAACTTTCGTGTTAGTGTATTGTGGGATAGGTACCCTCTCTTATCTGTCCGTTCGTCGTTAGCGCAGTCAATACTTGCTGAGGGTGCGGGCTCGTAGAGGATGCTTGGATACAATGTTTTCAAAAAAATCCAAACATTTTTAACTCAACTTCATTATCATCGATAATAAAAATAATATCAGTCATCATTCTTACACACTACATTAACCTTAATTCACTATTCGTCCACTCACAAAATTTTAACTAACCATCACTTCAAATCATCTCTTTCCTACTTTTACATCAAATCAACATTAATTATTTTATTTAAAATGTTATTTTAGTATACCCACTAACAGCTAATTATACCACATTTTAAAAATTAACCAAACCAAAAAAAAAAAAAAATTATATCCAAGCATTTACCTCACCCAAAGCCCACATTATGACAGACAAGTGGTCAAATGTTGCTTAATCTATCTATCTATGTATATATAATAAGAATAATCAATTACAATAGTAATAAAAAATTTTGTGAGCGATTAATGCATATTTTTTTTTATCTTTTTTTAAAAAATTTTTAAATATATGCATTAATTGCTTTCATATACACGTTTTTCAAATAAGATCAAATCAGATATGATCAAAAATATTATTTTGTAAATAATTTTATTAATATTTGCAATATTTTTATTGATATCCATTATAATAAATTCCAAGATTGATTTTCTGTGATTCATGTTGATAATGTATTTTGGTCGAGATAAATATTGCATCATATTTTAACTTCTAACCATAATATTAATTTTTTTTTCACAAATATTCACTTTTTATCCAAAAATATTTATAGAAACTTCTTCCAATTAATAAGACGAAATCAAATCTGTGAATTAATCTTTGTCAATATAATTTTTTTTTCTAAGCTTTATTTCGTTATAATAAAAAATAAATTATTCTTTAATTTAATATAATTTATCATTTAAGAGATCTTAAATTGACCATATACATTAAATTTTTTTACAAATGGTCAAAAATTAAAATTGAAGTATATTAATTGTTTTTTAGAATTTATTTGTATATTATTGGCAACCATGATTGCCACGGTTGCTAGTTAATTAATTTATACTTAAATTCTAAAAAAAGAATTACGGAAGAGGAGTTTTAATTTAACATGTTATTATTATTAGTTATATTTGAAATAGTACTATTCACTTGTACAATTTATCTGTCTTATATTATAGTTTTAATTTATAATTGTACAGATATTGATGTATAGTTTTATTAATTATCAGTTAGTCTTAATAGGTAATTTAATTGTTATAATAAAGAGGACCTCAATTTCTTTTTGTTCTTATTGAGATACATACTGGATAGGGTTTGGGTCTCTGCATAGTTTGACATAAAAAAATTTAAATCCAGAAACTATACGCCTCCGAATACACAGAGAAAATCAGCAGGAAGCGTTCCACAATCTAAGACCCTACCCCCGTTTTCAATTCTAACGACCCCTTCGTAAGAGAGAGTGTGTGTGTGCGGCACTGTTCTGAAAATCGGCCTAGGCGGCCGCCTAGGCGGTGCCCGGGCGCCTCCGATTTGCACAAATCGGCAGAAAAAATCGGTCAGGCGGCTAGGCGGCGCCTAGGCCCTAGGCGCTCCTAGGCGCCCTTGTCGGGCGCGGCGGCCAGGCGGTTAGGCGGCGCCTAGGCGGGAATAGGCGGACCTAGGCGCTCCTAGGCGGGCTCGGCGGCAATTTTTCAGTTTTTTTTTTAATTTTTTTAATTTTTTTAAATATTAATTACATTATTTTATTCTCATGTTTTCTTTAAAATATATTAATTTTATTATTTTGACTTAGGTGTGTCGATTTATTATAAGTTGAGATAGTTTTATTTTGTAGGTAGTCAAACTAAATAAAAAATAAGGTATTTAATATTGATTTCTAGGCCCCGACTAGACACCGCCTAGGCCCGCCTAGGCGCTCTAGGCGCTAGGCGCTGGTCGAGCGCCTAGCGGGCGCCTAGCGACTTTTAGAACACTGGTGTGCGGGTACGATTGATATTTTTCTTTTTCTTTGTCAATGTGTGTGTTGAAGGTTATGTAGCTGTGCAGACGCAGTCCAAATTTGATGCCGACAAGGCAAAAAGATCTATCCAGAAGCCGCCAATGTATGCACTGAGAGCTGGAAGTGGGCATGTGAGAGCTCTCAATATCCAGTTTGCGAGGTCTCTTACTGCTTATATCTTTTCACTCACTCATTCTTTTTTTTTTCTTTTTTTTTTTTTTGAAATTATTAATGCTTGCATTACTGATTTTGCTAGTTATTTGAGTTTCTTGAGTTAGCTGTTGTGACTGGGTGCTTCGTTCTGCAGAACTTTTGGTTCAAATTACTGAACTGTGGCCATCAGTGGCCATCAGTTTTGTGTAATGCTTGTGCTTTGTGTTCATCCCAGCTTATCTTAGATGGATGAAATTGTTTGTAGTAGGGTGGAGTTGCAAACATTGAAATTTTGTGTGCTGGGTTGACGTCAGTAATTTGACACAATCATGCTTAAGTTGGCAAAAAGTTTTTTGTTCCTAAGATCACGACTTTCTGTTTAACTGGAATGCTGTTGGCAGTACCACAAGTTTGAAAGTTTGTTACAAAAGGTTTATTTGTATCAGTTCATGTTCTTTTGCTTGCTTTCTCTGCTATGTTACGTGTCATAGATTGGAAGTTTGTGAGTACTGTGATTTATATCAATGCGATGTGCTGTAGCAGTATAGTGGACTTCTTCTATTTCGTTCTGACATGGTTTAGATTTGTTTTGTAATGTTGTGAACTCTTTCATGATCAGTTGGACACAAAGTCAATTACAAAACCATCCAGATGAGCCTTGGGACGATGGAGTGCAGGATTACTTAAACCGTGCTAAAATTATCATTGTAATTTCTCAGTATCTGCAATTTTACTCAATATCTCTAAGTCATCTAGTGCACCATTCGGCTGCGATGAAGTCATCCTGTGGGGGTCATTTCTATAGTTTTAGTTATTATATGGGAATATTTTGTGATTACAAGGATGTCGACCTGGCATTATTTGGTGAACTTTTTTGTTTATGCAAGTAATTGGCAATCTCATTATCCTTTGGCCAATTTGTTTTGGTGTAAAAGAGCATGCGGCAGACATTGATTGTGACTCTTGGCCAGCATTTGGTGCTATTCATACTAAACATATATTTTTCACAAAATGCTCTTGTGAAGTATGTTGTTGAAATTTTAAACAAACATTAAATTTAATTATTAGTACTGCTAGACACCATAAAAATACTGACCCTGCCATCCTCATGGGATTGTCTTATCGGATGTGAATCCTTTAGAATCACTACCACAATTTGTTGAGTAGTTTTTGACCATGAGTGGCTCCGTCATTTATTCATGTGTTATCAAATATTGATTATATGAGAGGTGTCTAATGCTTTCTAGTGGAAGATATGAGAGGTGTCTAATGCTTTCTAGTGGAAGTGGGAATGTCCACCGCATGTAGTGGCCTGAGTAAAATCTCTCTCTCTCTCTGTCTCTCTCATCCTCTCCGTATCCAACCTCTATCTAGGAGCACATGTTCAGATTAATGAATTAATCATTTTTTTTTTTTGGCATCCCTTTCACTGATACATTACAATGAGTGAGGACACAAATTTTCAGGACTTAAATTTTTAGGTACAAAAGTAACTTTCTGTAGTTTACTGTTAATGTACTGACTTGTCTTCAATTGTAGGAGAGTTATGGTGATGCTGTTAATTGGTTGAGAACAAATGCTGTGAAAGGAAGGGGTATAGCCAAGATTCCATCTGAAGATGCTCGGACTAAGCCTCTATGGAAACGTGCACGTCTCTATAATAAGAATGGCCATTTCACATTTGGAGGAGGTATTATTTCAATATAGTTGATGAAATGTTATATATATATATATATATCTGTGTGTGTGTGTGTGTGTGTGTTTGTGTATTCACTATGTAGCGTGTATCTACTGCATGCAATCGTAAAGAAATTAAATATTCATTACAAGATTTGATGTATGTGTTTGCAAGATATTCAAGTATGAATATGTTCCCAATTAGAATATTTACAGAGTAGCTACCATAGTCGCTCTAATTCATAATATCTTAAGTATCTTTTTGTATCATTAGTTTGCTCTAGTTCATGATATCCTAAGTCTCTTTTTGTATCATTAGTTCCACTGCATACTGGGTTCCCATATGTGGGTGATTTAACAATACTTTTTGCCATTCAATAAAAGAATTCCGTGCTGGTTTTTTTCTACCGATAAAGATGTTAGTTCAGTTGAGAATGTACTTAAATTCTACGCTTTGGTTCTTTACCCTCCATAATTGACGATATGTTTGAAAACTGTGATTATCTTGCTTAATTTTGGATACTGTTTTGTGCTCATGGTTTCAGAAAGCGAGCCTGGAATTGCAAATATCAATGCTATTACTGTTGCTTCAAATGGACCTGATGGAGGTAAGGGGTGATAAGGTCTTTATGATTAAATGATTGTCAAAGTTGTTAATTCTCTGGTTAATCTATCACGGCTTATGCCCACTTCATGATCATCCGTATTATAAGGTTTGAATGCTTGTTGCGTTTTAAATCAAGTTATCATTTGCTTACATTTTCTTATGAAATTAATTTCAAGAGCTCAATGCCTATGTCCACAATACAAAATCCTCCTAGATTGACCTCAAATTGTGAGTTTAGGATGGAGATTCCTTGTAGACTGTCCCGAAAAATTGAAGTGGTTTTTTACACTGATCAAAAGAGGTGGGAAATAGATGATAAATCTATTGTTTTTTAACGAGCCTATGAAAATAACTCGTTTAATATTTCTTTCCCGTGCATCGCACCCGGTATTTACTAGTTTATTAAGTAGCACACAGCAAATTTATACTTAAATTCTAAAAAAAGAAGTGTGAAAGAGGAGTTTTAATTTAACACGTTATTATAGTACTATTCGCTTGTACAATTTATCCGTCTCATATTATAGTATTAATTTATAATTTTATAAATATTGATATATAATTTTATATTTTCAGTTAGTCTTTGATAGGTAATATAATCGTTATAATATAGTGGACCTCAGTTTCTTTTTATTCTTATTTTTGAGATACGTACTGGATAGGGTTTGGTGGCAAAAAAAAAAAAATTAAATTCAAAAACTGTACGCCTCTCAATACACAGAGAAAACCAGAGACAGGAAGCATTCGGCAATCTAAGACCCTACCCCCGTTTTCAATTCTTACGAAACTTTTGTAAGTGTGTGTGTGTGTGTGTGTTTGCGGGTCCGATTTATATTTTTTTTCTTTGTCAATGTTGTGTGTTGAAGGTTGTGAAGCAATGCGGAAGATCAAGAAAGCATTACTGGGGTCTCAATTTGATGCCGACAGTGGAGAAACATCTATCCGGCGGCTGCCACTGAATGCAGCGAGAGCTAAATCACCAGAATGGCATGTGAGATCTCTCAATATCCAGTTTGCGAGGTCTATTTCTGCTTATATCTTTTCACTCGCTCATTGGTTTTTTTTTTTAATTATTAATGCCTGGAGTACTGATTTTGCTAGTTATTTGAGTTTCTTGAGTTAGCTGTAGTGATTGTGTGCTTAGTTCTGGGGTGGACTGCAGAACTTTTGGTTCAAATTACTGAACTGTTGCCATCAGTTTTGTCTAATGCTTGTACTTTGTGTTGACCCCAGCTTATCTTAGACGGATGAAATTGTTTGTAGCAGGGTGGAGTTGCGAACATTGAAATTTTGTGTGCTGGGTGGACCTCAGTAATTTCACACTAAAAGTTTTCAGTTCCTAAGATCGTGTCGTTATGTTTAACTGGAGGAATTCTGTTGGCGGTACCACAAGTTTTAAAATTAGATACTGTAAAATCATATGAGGTTTATTTGTATCAGTTCATGTTCTTTTGCTTGCTTTCTCTGCTATGTTATGTGTCATAGATTGGAATCTTGTGACTACTGTGATTTATATCGATACCTGAGATGTGCTGTAGTAGTTTAGTGTACTTCTTCTATTTCCTTCTGACATGGTTTAGATTTGTTTGGTAATGTTGTGAACTCTTACATGATCAGTTGGATACAAAGTCAATTACAAAACCATCCAGATGAGCTTTGGGAGGATGGAGTGGATGATTACTTAATCAGTGCTAAATGCATCAGGGTAATTTATCAGTATCTGCAATTTTACTCGCTATCTCTACGTCATCTAGTGCACCATTCGGCTGTGATGAAGTCATCCTGGGGGTCATTTCTCTAGTTTGTAGTTATTATTATATGGGAATATTTTGTGATTACAAGGATGTCGACCTGACATTATTTGGTGAACTTTTTTGTTTATGTAAGTACTTGGCAATCTCATTATCCTTCGGCCAATCTGTTTTGGTGTAAAAGAGCATGGGGCAGACATTGATTGTGACTCTTGGCCAGCATTTGGTGCTATTCATACTAGACATTTATTTTTCGCAAAAAGCTCTTGTAAAGTATGTTGTTGAAATTTTAAACAACCATTAAATTTAATTATTAGTACTGCTAGACACCATTATAATACTGACCCTGTCATCCTCATGGGATTGTCTTATCCGATGTGAATCCCTTAGAATCACTACCACTATTTGTTGAATAGTTTTTGACCATGAGTGGCTCTGTCAGTTATTAGTGTGTTATCGAACGATTGATTATATGGGAGGTGTCTAATGCTTTCTAGTGGAAGTGCGAAGGTCCACCACATGTCGTGGCCGAGTAAAATCTCTCTCTCTCTCTCTCTCTCTCTCTGTCTCTATCTCTCTCATCCTCTCTGTATCCAACCTCTATCTAGGAGCACATGTTCAGATTAATGAATTAATCATTATTCTTTTTGGCATCCCTTTCACTGATACATCACGATGAGTGAGAAGACAAATTTTGTGGACTTAAATTTTTAGGTACAAAAGTAACTTTCTGTAGTTTACTGTTAGTGACTTGTTTTCTTCAATTGTAGGAGCTTTATCGTGGTACTGTTCATTGGTTGAGAATAAATGCCGTGAAACGAAGGGGTATAGCCAAGATTCCATCTGAAGATGCTCGGACTAAGCCTCTATTCGGAATTGGCAAAAGCAGTCATACATTGTTTCGTCCGACATTGTTTTCGGACAAACCTATGTTTCCTGCAGCCACAACAGCAAGCTCTGGAACCCCATGGAGACCTGCACTTCTCTTTAATAATGGCCCTTCCACATTTGGAGGTATTATTTCAATATAATTGATGGAATGTCTGTATATATATATATATATATTCGCTATGTAGCATGTATCTACTGCATGCAATCGTAAATGGTGCATTGTGAAATTATATATTCATTACAAGATTTGATGTATGTGTTTGCAAGTTATTCAAGTATGAATATGTTCCCAATTAGAATATTTACAGAGTAGCTACCATAGTCGCTCTAATTCATGATATCTAAATCTCTTTTTGTATCAATAGTTTGCTCTAATTCATGATATCTTAAGTTTCTTTTTGTGTAATTAGTTCGACTGCATACTGGGATCCCATATGTAGGTGATTTAACAATACTTTTTCCCATTCAATCATTAGTTCCGCTGCATACTGGGTTCCCACATGTGGGTGATTTAACAATACTTTTTCTCATTCAAATAAAGTGTTCCGTACTGGTTTTTTTCTATCGATAAATGATGTTAGTTCAGTTGAGAGTGTACTTAAATTCTGTACTTTGGTTCTTTACCCTCCATAATTGGCGATGTGTTTGAATACTATGATCATCTTGCTTAATTTTGGATACTGCTTTGTGCTCATGGTCTCAGGAAGCGAGGTTTCAGTTCCTGGAATTGAAAATGCCAATGTGGTTACTTCAAATGAACCTGATGTAGGTAAGGGGTTATAAGGTCTTTATGATTAAATGATCATCAATAAAGCTGTTAATTATCTGGTTAATCTATCATGGCTTATGTCCACTTTATGATCATCCGTATTATAAGGTTTGAGTGCTTGTTGCGTTTTTAATCAAGTTATCATTTTCTTGCATTTTCTTATAAAATTAATTTCAAGAGTTCAATGCCTATGTCCACAATGCAAATCCTCCTAGATCCACGATACAAAATTCTCCTAAAATGACCTCAAATTGTGAGTTTAGGATGGAGATTCCTTGTAGACTGTCCCGAAAAATTGAAGTGGTTCACCAATTCTTAACAAGGATTTATTTAATGTGCATTAATACTGATTAGAATTTGATTCATCTCATTTTTGCTCATTGCACAGATATTACCAAGACTATATAGTAATATCGTATACAAAACCCAATAAAGATGAGTACTGGCAAGCAAATGTCTTAAATTACATGATAGCCCAAGTTGACATGTTATTCAATGGGGGGATAGCCAGAAAAGTTGATCGGTTGGTCTTAGTTCATCATCTGGAATTGTTACTTTGTAAATGGTACTAGCATGGAAATAGAACCCTTTACTCTCATTTTCCGTGGAGTTAATAGAATACGATTCCGAAATTTTTATCCCAATTTTTCTGGAGGGGTTTCACATATATTTGCTATTGAATTGAGGTGACATGCAGATTTGAGAATATGGCCTTGTAGGAATTTTAAATATTAGTGCAGTTAATACAATGTAGCTTGATGCTGTTTCTTGTATTTCCTTCCAACAAAACGACAAGCTACCATTCTTATGATCACACTCCATGTAAATATGCGTCTTTGCATATCCTATGACTGTTGTGTTGCAGGTGGGAAAGCTGCTGCTCGATGCATTGATCCAGGCATCATGACAATTGTGCTCAAGAACTCAGTTTTAACAACATTGCATACTTTGGTAATTCATTGCTGTTATATTGTTATTTTTTCCCTGTGTATTACTGTTTTATAGGTTGCATTATTGTTAAATTGATCGCACTTGCTCCTTATAACGAAACTGAAGGGGAAAGCATGCATTTTTAGTTATTGTTCTAACAGTTTGATATTGAGGGTCATTTGAATGACCAATTTGGTCAAATCATGCAGAAACTAAGATGTTCAGCCTATTAAATAATCAGCAACACAGTTAATCCATTTTGTTGAAAAGTCAATTTTAGCCGTGAGACATCTAATTTCGTGTAAAGATTTGTGATTTACAATAAGGTTTTGTTCAAGGAGGCATAATTTTATCCTACAGCCCCTAAAAATAGAGAAAATGTAGCCTACTCTTTTTACAGAAATAAGCCAATCTTTTGCAATGCGAAATCCCCAGATATGTTAATATTTACGTAGTTGCCCATTTAAATCAACTGTATCTGATGTTTCATTTCATGCTATCTTTAAAGGATGATGGTGATAGCAATGAAAACGTCGTTGCTCGACCCTTTTTAATGGAGAACAAGGACTAAGGAGGACAGAGATAAAACTTGTTGCTGCCATTCAGGATTACGCGCCTGCAAGCTGAGACTCGCAAAGTTTATATGCTTTATTTTACATACCATTTTGTTCTACATCTAGCTCAAGTGCCATGCATTATCGGGATTTTTTTTTAATGGTTAAAACTGTTCGAAATTTAAAGATTTTAGGACTTGTGAATTTCACATGCCTGAGGAAATCCGAGATGTGTAACACGATCCGTAAGCCTGTGTATTTCACGAAGAGATGTGCAGCATAAATACCTTTTTATTTTTTTATTGCTTCTTCCTTGATACTTTCATTTTCCAATTTTGATGTGTGCTTTCTGAATATTTCGTTTTCTACTCTAGATATTTGTAGTTGGTAATAATTTTGTTTGATCATTTGTGAACATTCTATCTTTACTATATAACAACCTAGTACGTAACCTGATGTGCGGATTGTATTTCTTGTAGTAAAATTTGTTAATTGAAGGTTATTATTTATCCATATGTTATAATACGCACAACATTTGTCGAATAATCATAAAATATTCATCAGGACAAAGTCGTATAATATTGAAAATCTCCTTATTTTTCATGTAAATTTTTTTTGCACTTGACAACTGTAGACCAATATTTATTAAGACTGTTCTCCACTTGCTAATTGCGAATTGTATACACAATGTTAACACCACGAAATAAAATTATAGTGAAGATAACATTTATCGGTTGAAGTTTAATTTTATATAGAATATAAGAAATTGTTACTTTGTGAATTTTGAGTAGGTGAATTTTGAGTATATATATATATATATATATATATATTTGAGTACGTATATATATATATACATATCGTGAAAATACAATCTCTGTTAGGACATTTTCTTTGTAATTTTGTTACAAAAGTCTCTAAAAGACTCACAATTTTAAAAGTCTCATAAAGCCTTAATGTTTTGAATATCAAATGACTTATTGAGACTCTCAGAAAATTTTATAATTGAATACACTGAGACTTTCAGAAATTTATTAAAAGTCTCAATTGAATACATGCAAATTTGCACATTCTCTCAATTACACCAGGACTGAACTTGTAAACTTTTCACAA